GACATAATTAAATTAATTTAAGATAATATGAAAAATGTTGAAAAATAATGTGCTGGAAATTATTAAAAATTGATTTCACAAACCAAATTCCAGCCTCGAAGCAACGAAACTTAGCTTTACAGCTACATAAATAATTTATAATATTTTTCCATTCTGTAATTTATTTGCTGCTAATTAAATTGCCGTTAAGTTCAGCTGCAGCATGCCAAAAATGCAAGTTATTTTTTTTCCCCAGCTAATGCAATAAATCAAAAGTTTTCCCAATAAGCCAAATACAAAACGGAATGCGATCGGGAAGCCTGTTGTTGCCCTGTGGCAGCAACAACAATTTATGCCACTTAAACTTAATACCTCGCTGATTGCCCGACGAAGCGTTGCAAATCGTTTATTTGAATTATATTAATTTTCTCGCTTTTTTGCGCCTAGAAAAATAAGGCAAAAAAAAAACATTTTTTTTTATGTTTTTCGCTTATTTTTTTTAGATGAATTTCATGCGCTTGTTTGCATTTTGTAATTCGTTGTTGTTGTTGCTGTGCTTGTTGTTTTTCTTTAGCCGGACGACAATTTTGTGTCGCTGCGTTGTCATGACAACAAAAAAAACACAACTTGCAGAGAAATGGAAAAAAGGAATGAAAATAAATAAAAGTCGACGCGTAATAATAAATGAGAAGTGGAAAAGTTTTGCAGCCAACGTGCTTATTGTCAAGCTCTCGGCCCGGCCATAAAAAACAAACTTCAATAGCAATAAGGCGACAAAAAAATAACAATAACAACAACAACCAGGCCAAAAGCACAACTGGCAGCAAGAAAAAAGTCCAAGGCACTGACTTTATAGCTGCAATAATGCCTGAAAGGCAACGCTGCGGGGGCGTGTGACTCTGGCAAGGTGAGCCACACGGCCAACAAAAACAAAGCGAAGCCACGCTGCAGCTGAACAAAGAGAGAGAGAGAGAGCTAGGTATGTAGGCTGGCGGCTGGCTGACTGGCTGGTTGGGGCATATCGCGGGTCACCTAACGTGTTGAGGCACTTTGCCCAGCTAACGAAATGTAACAAAGTGCCTTAGCACAGTCTGCTCCATTGTCCACCGAACAGTTAGGCTGCCGTCCGCATCCGCATCCGCACCCGTATCTGCAGCCGCAGCCGCATCCGTGTCCGTGTCCGTGTCCATGTCGCTAACGGGCCTGGTTTGTTATGTGGCTTATGCCGGAAATTTGTATTTAGACCCCAGCATTTTTTGTTGTCCTTGCTTTAGCTATATTTTTTGCGGCTGTTTTGTCGCCGAAACGTCTGCGCCTGAGGTCTGGGTCAGTTTTCACCAGAAGTTAACGCGATTTGGGATATGTTGTAAGTTTACCAAAAGAAATTCAAATGAATACTGCGACAGAGCGCCAATAGCTAAACAGATAACCGGTTCTTCTAACAGAGGAGCAAAAATTAATCATTCAAATATATATTATATATTCTCAACATTGGTCTTGTTAGACACTGAATGCACTGAAAACGCCGCAACAAAAGACTTCATCGTTCACAGCTTTCAATCCAGAATTTATTAGTTTTCATAATCCTAAGCTAGTAAAACCATAACATTAAAGCAGCGAAAGCCCGACTACAGCTCATTGATGCTTCTATATAAACAGATGTGTTTCCCTTTGCAGCATGCACTCATGACATAATCGTCTGCAACTGATAAGCTTAACCTTTGACCCAATCATATATATTACAAGTAGCAATTGTCGTGTGCCAGCATTTCATTGATACCGCCTCTTACTGCTAACGCTTTAAAGATTGATAAGACATTATAAGCTGCGAAATACAAGGTTTCCTTATTGAGATGAGTAAAGAGCTTGAATCAGTTCAAAATAAATTCAATTGTGAAACAGTTGCAAACTCTGATTTATTCAGAATCGAAAAATACATCAAGATCTGTTGCATGTTCATGATATTGATATCAACTTTGAGCTGCGTGGCAATGGAAAGTCCTGTAAGTATTCGCCTATCATTCATACACATTAATGTTCAATAATAACTATTAAAGGAGTGCAAGGCTAAGAGAGAATTAGATACGCAGTGCAGTAAGTACTGCTACACAGTTGTGAAGCCCCTTCTTCAACACGCTTCATCTATGCTCGTGAAGGAGAAGTCTCTAGCAGAAATACAACTTAAAGTTGACGAATATATTCAGACTATAGCAGATCAACAGAAAACAATTGAGCTTAAAGACAAAGAATTGGCTGCCAAGCTGCAGTTGATTGAAACCAAGGATAAGCAATTGGCTCTTCAGCTTCAACTAATTGAAGCTAAGGATAAGCAATTGGCTCTTAAGCTTGAATTACTTAAGTCCAAAGATAAGCAGGTGAATGTAAATCTGGAGTCAACGGATAAGCAATTGGCTCTTCAGCTTCAGTTGACTGAAGCCAAAGATAAGCAATTGGCTTCTCAACTTCAGTTAATTGAAGTCAGGGATAAGGAATTGGCTCTTCAGGCTGAGCTTATCAATAGCTACAAGGCTAAGAAGAATGAGATGGAGAATGAAAATGAGAAGGAAATACTAAGACTCAAGTCTTTGATAAAGGAGAAAGATCTTAGAATATCGGATCTTGAACTTAAAAGTACTGCAAATGGGGCGAAGATAAATGATCTACAAACGAAGCAAACAGAATATATGAAAATCTTAGAAGGATCTAACTGCCTAGGCAAATCGATCGCATCTATAATTAAGTTGCCCCACATCGAGCCATTCCTCGTGCCCTGCGACTTCAAGATAGCGGGATCTGGTTGGATCGTGGTCTGGTTGATCGGCTTTGGCGACTTGCAACATGAATATTTCATAGGATTGGAGAAGATGCATTTGCTTACGCAATCGCAGGCGCATGAATTGTATATTCAATTAGAGGACTTCAATAATGAATCCCGATATGCCCGATACATATTTGCTTATTGGAAGCGAAGAAGAATCGTACAAGATAATAAAGGTTGGCGATTTTTCGGGAAATGCTGGAGATTCCCTTACGTTTCATTTGAACATGAAATTTTCAACAAAAGATCGTGATAACGATACAGCTGAAGGTAACTGTGCGATATGGTATAAATCTGGATGGTGGTTTCATGAATGCGGTAACTGGTAAAGGCGAAAAAGCTATTTAAATTGTGAATCCTATTGATCTGTTGACTATTTCAGTAACTTAAACGTACGATATACAACAGAAAATGTTAGAAACAGAATAGCTTGGAATAACTGGACTACGAAACCGCTTAAATCTATACAGATGATGATCAGACCAAGATCTGCCTGAGTCAACACTTTAATATTTTTGTTTATCAATTTTCCATTTTCAATTTGTAATTTCAATTTTTAGATTTTGAGTAAAAAGTAAAGTTTTAACTGCAATATGAAAATGCAAAGGCATCAAAAATGCGCTTCTTCTGAATCTTGAAACTAGGTTTTAAAATATTAATACGTAAAGATATGGCAATCGGGTGCAACTAGCTGTGCAATGGTTGGCAGTGATCGCACCTGTATGACTCAGTGAGCAAACTAATATACTCGTTTCACAGTGTGAACGAGCATAACAATTTGAAATATTCGATGTTTTCTGTTAAACTCTTAATTATAGCAAATGTGACGAATACACCTAATGAAAATTACAGTTATGCTGGGCTGTCAACTAAGTGAAATATTTAACTACGCTGACGGCCCCACCCCCACCCCAGTCGCCCGCTATTGATGTCAGCTAGCCCCGACGAGCCGTCACATCGATGACAATTTAAAGTCGTGACAGGCTGTTGGCAACGGGGGCGAATGGGGCACTAAATTACTATGCTTAACTCATAAAGGTTGGAAAATTTAATTACATGCAATGGGGAGGAAGGCGTACAAAAAGCTCGTGCTTTGGGCACCAGGTAGGCGTGGCCCGGACACGACAGGGCAACGAAAAATAGAGAAAACAATTGCCGAGGCGTAGCCCGAATATTTAGACGGGGTTATAATCATTTCAAAGCGCAAAAACCTAGTCCCCCTTGGGCATTATTTGAATGCCCATTTCAGTACCTCTGAGGAACCCATTTGGGCTGGTGTCAACAAAGTGCGCGCAGCTTGACGAACGCCTTGACTTTCACACGCTAATGAGTTTGTTTAAGTAATTTCAATTCATTTGTTAATTTTCAACTATTGTCTCTCTATTGACACTACTAAGGGCGCCCAGTGCCCCGTCCGTGGCCCGCTCGTTCCCGCTGTTTGCGTGCTCATAAATTGACCATTTGTGTCCCTTCTGTCATTTGCCCAAAGTCATTAATGAACAGCTGGCCCGACCACAGATCCAATTGTGGATAGTATGTACATTAGAGATACTTATTCGCTATTATTGATTATCTTGGCACACGCATCTATAGTAGTATTTTCTATGAATAAATCTGCAATTATGAAAATCGCATAGAAAGGCCTAAGAGAAGGCCATTTCAGAGTGTTTACTAACGAGTTGAGTTATAGGCGAAACAAGAACACATAAAAGTGCTCTACTCGGAAGTGTCCGACTAGGAAATACCCTGAATCCAGCGAACTGTTGAATAACTTTTCTTCTAGATGGACATTCTTAATTCATCCAGATGTTTGAAGCTGCTAAAGCCAGTCCCTAGTATTTGATATATGTCTTATGCGACTTTGAAGGCAAGGGGTAAGTATCCAATATACAAATTTACCCACAGTAAATTGGATGTGTGCAACCATCAAGCTACGCTCAATAAGCGCAGTCAAGTCTAGTATCGATCAACTTTATCGATAGTAAGAAAATGGTAATCGAAAGCAATTGATACAGAAATCTACCTAATGAGATCTCCCACGCCTTCTTTTGCCTGCCACAAAATCAATTCGCATTTTCCATGGGTTCAGTCTGTAAGGCATCTCTGCGCCCTACTCGTAATTTCGCTCCCAAATTCTATCAATGAGATCTTATGCCTTTGAGATAGCCTTCAGTAGAACAGGAGAAGTTTGTTAATAAAATTCAATTGAATTGAACGACCTTTAGCTTTTTAGAAATAAATAGATAATTTTTTCGGTCTTATGTCTCAGTAAATTTTTTGTTTCAACTAGTTTCCAATGACCGTTTTGCAGCTCGATAGATTCGAGACTGGAAAATTCGATTGTTAAATTGAATTTGCCAAGACAACGATCCAATATCGTACGACAATGCTAATGAGATTGCGTACGAGCCTAGCGGCGTCGCCATGGCGAAAGCAGCCGCATCGCTTATTGTGCTCGATGAGCGCCATGCTCCACAAGGGGCAGAAGACCGGCAAGGAGCGAACCCCCCAGTTGCCGAACCGCAAACAACAGGTGGAATCGTTGACGAGCGACTACTTCGATGTACTGGTTATCGGCGGCGGTGCCATTGGCTGTGGCTGCGCTCTGGAATCGGCATCGCGCGGCTTCAAGACAGCCCTAATCGAGGCTGGAGATTTTGCTAGCGGCGCCAGCTGCAAATCTAGCAAATTGATCGAAGGCAGCAATTCGTATTTGCATGCAGCGATTCAAGGTGCTGATCTGCAACAGATATTCATGCTGCAACAGGTGTTAAACGAGCGCGCCACAATGCTAACCATAGCGCCCCATTTGAATCGAGTGCAACCCATGCTGATGCCCATATACAGTCCGCTGCGCCTGCCACTCTATTGGCTGGGCCTGAAGATGTATGACGCCATGGCTGGCATGTCGAACGTGCGCGGCTCGCACTTTCTATCGAAACACGCGACGCTCAACGAGTTCCCATTGCTGCGCAAGGAGGGACTGTTGGGCTCCCTGGTCTACTATGATGTGCAGCTAGACGATGCACGCATGTGCCTGGCCCTGGCCATCACGGCAGCCAAACATCGCGCAACTGTGGCCAACTATGTGCGTCTACTTGAGGTATTTCCGACCTGTCAGCAGGACTGTCGCTCGGTGCTCGTCAAGGACACACTGAACGACAAGTCGTTCATAGTGACTAGCAGAGTTATTATCAATGCAACGGGCGCCGGCACGGATGCCGTCCGCAAACTGGATGACTGCCGGGCCTGTCCGATAGCTGTGCCCCATCTGGGCACACATATTGCGCTGCCCGGCTATTACGGCTCACAGAATTTCGGCCTGCTCTTTCCCAGCATTGAGGGCTACGATGACGCACTGATCATGCTGCCCTTTGAGAATAGATTGCTAGTGGGCAGTCTGGACGTGGAGCGTCCAGAACCGACCAAAGAGCCGCCAGCGCCGACAGCCGAGGAGGTTGACTGCCTGCTAGCACAGACGCAGAAAGTGCTGGAGGATTGCTGCCAGTTGAGTTTGCAGCACGTACTAAGCGCCTGGACGGGCGTAAAGCCATCAATCATCTGCCCGTCCACGGACAATGCGGACGACAGCAAGGAGCCGCATGTTATCACAAATTTCTTGCTTGAAGTTAGCGGCAATCAGATGATCACCCTGGCTGGCGGACGGTGGAGCACATATCGTGTGATGGCCGTCGATGCCGTCAATACGGCCATTGAATCCTGCCTATTGGAGCCGCAATCGAAGGCGAGCGTCACCAGCAATCTGTTGTTAGATGGCGCCGAAAACTACTGCTGCATGCTGCCCCTCGATTTGGTGCACGCCTACGATCTGCCCATGGATGTGGCACAACATCTGGCCGAATCGTATGGCAGCAATGCTCCACTGGTGCTCGCCCATTGCTCGGACAGTAGCACACATCGCTTGCATCCGAAATTCCCCTACATAGACGCCGAGGTGATCTATGCCTGCCAGCGCGAGTATGCCTGCCACTTGGAGGATGTGATCGCGCGTCGATTGCGCGTGGCGTTTGTCGATGCGGTGGCCGCCTACGACATGCTGCCCACCGTTCTGGAGATTATGACCAACGAGTTACACTGGGATGAGAGTCAGCAAAAGACCGAACTTCAAATGGCGCAGAAATTTCTACAAAAGCAAATGGGTCTCTGTTGCATTATTAACCACAAGAAGGACACCAAACTCAACAAGTGCGCCCTACTAGAGGCACGATTGTCAGTCAGCGGAGACACAAGCTCTTTCAATACAACAATAGATTCCAGTTCCCCAACGATTTCCCATTGCAAAACCGAAACATATTGCCGCGATGCCTCGAGGCCAGTTCAAGCGCGTTTAGCCGTGCAGCCACAGGAGACTCCTCCCATAATTCAGGCAACGGCACCGACTGCTAAAATTGCCTGCGGCTTAGCGGCCGTCAGTGACTCCAACTCCCTGCATAGATCCTCCATAGTCAGAGGGAGTTCGTCTGTCGTCCACTTCGAGGGAGACAGTGGCCTAGCCAGCAGAGCTAAGAGTTGCAAGAAGCCGAGTACAACCGTAAGGAGAGGTGTTTACAAGACGCCAGATAAGCCACCAAACTATGTTAGACCGGACTCGGTGCCAGAAAACGTCGTTGTCACAAGTAACGCGAAAAATATTGGCGCAATCAGAAGAGAGCTAAGCTGGAAAATCCATTCGGAAAGGCAGAAGAATAGAAACGAATGTTCAAGTCACGAGAAGCATAACAACTCGAGGCAAAGCAATAAGGGCGATAATGACGTGTTTAGCAGCGGCAAGGCCCTCGAAGGCATCAGTCGAACTTGCAATAGAGGGAAATTCAATCGTTCCACTCTGGACAACCTAACATTAGCCAATGTCGAAACGGCAACAGGAGGCAGCAAACGACCGTCAAACCCGGCGACAACACGGCTAAACGCCGTGGGGCCGACGAGCTCAACTGACAACTTAAAAAATAAATATGGATTCGTTATGCCCAGCCAGAAAAGTCAGCCTGCAAGCAAAGCGCTAGCTCTGCCAAAGAGCGTTGAGGTGCCCACTGACTATATGAATTGCTATGACGTCACTTCTTCGATGATCAAAAGAGGCCCGGCAATGGACGTTAGCAATCAACGTTCCAGCAAGGCGTCAGCTCTGGAGCGTGTTGAAATGTCTGAGGCGGACAAGCCAACTGATAAGCAAGGTAAGCCCACCGGCAAGCCGAAAGCACATCCAAGGAGCAGCGACAGCCCAGCCGTGTCGAAGCTAAACGCCAAAAACTCAGGCAAACCGAAAAGCTGCAATACCAGACATGCATCAACAATATCAATAATCGACAGCGATGCGGCGGCAACAGGTACAGAAACACCTGCAGTTCCTAATAGTAACGCTGACGCCAATACAGATTATCGAATAAATGCAGCAAGTGATCAGTCCATCGTCGGTGCGGACAGTCCAGATGACGATACGGTAACAATTCTACGTTATGCAACAGCGGGTCTGAAGGAAATTAAGGAGAATATACGCAAAGTGAAACCGAAGCATACAGATGCAGGCATTGACGCCGCCCAGTCAACAACGCAGGATGAACTGCCCCAAGAAACTGATGACCAAGGCATATTTCTGGGTGGCCCATGCCCATGCCGCAAATCATGCACCAAAGATGACAATGATTCAGACACGAATAAATAACATTGGCTCCATACAAACAAACCTAAAAGAAACTCACGCAAAAGCTGACTAAACTAAAATATGAGTGCACTTAGTATACACCGGCACACTAACATCATTTGGTGTTCGGTGAGTGAGTGTGCAAGTGTGTTGAGTGCCTTGCTCAATTTATATTTTATATATACACATATATATAAAGAGTTGAAATCTTAATAAAAGTCAAAAAAACACGAAGTTATCTTTATACAATGTTTCCTGTATTCCAAGCTGTGGGCTAATTGTGAGCTGTCTTGCATAGATATCTTTAGAATCATTAGCAATCGATTTTTTAGATTTATTTTGAATGAACTTCTCGAAGATCCATGTCCATAAATAAATTTTGAAAAAATTTAAAAAAAGAATCAGTTGCTATCAAAGCTTGAGCAAGTCTGTTCTTGGCTACTTTTCATATGTTTATGAAATTAATATGTAAGCAAAGCTTTTTATTTATAGAATATGAAAAATCAATATGTGAAGTCGGCGCAACAGTGCTCATATTTTGCTTTGATCAGCAGAAAGCGCTAAGTCAAGCTAGTCACATCTGTCTGTCTATAGAGACAGCAAAAAGTAAAAGCTTAAATATTTTACATAGTATTTCAAATGCTCCAATCTCAATACCATTTTGCTATGTATGCATAGAAGAAGAAGAAGAAGAAGAAGAAGAAGAAAAATGCAAAGTAGAATGATTGAAAGAACAGCACTGGCTGGGTTCACGGTACATACAAGTAGGGCACCCTCACACTCACATGTTAAGACTTAAGTCTTTCAGTATTATAACTATGAATATATCTAAAGCGGAATATATAAATAAAGAAAAGCTAAGTAATTTTTCGCATTTCTTTAGCTCTCAACGAAATGAAACACACAACAATGAAGCGAGTTGGAAAACAAATGCCTTATCAAAAAAATCCAAAATATTTTTGCTTCAAATTAACAATAGTTTAAAGTATTCTCTTTAGAAAATAGAAAGAAAAAAAGTTTGCTAAAAAGTAGAATTAATTTCAGATGTTTATTCCGTTCTGCTAGCCTTACGAATAGAAAAGCAACCATAAAAAACTCATTTGTGTAGCTAACGAGCATCCATTAGTCAAAATGGCAGGCACATTAAGCGCAACAAGGCTTGGTGGAAAACAAAATACTTACATAAGTACAGATGCCACCCAATCAGCCAATAAATAAGGCAATATATGAGCGATAAGCATATATTTACTACAAGAAATGCCTGCCCATAACAATAATTCAAAATGGGCTTCCTTCTGGCCCACATGCTAGACAGCAAAATTTGGCTAATTTATTTAGAAAAAAAAATATAACGACGAGAGCAGCGGGAAATTGCCCAAGTAACGGCAACAGCCAAAAGGAAAATCGATGGCAAAAAAAAAATGCTTTCGCTGGAAAATCGAAGCACAAATTGAACATCATGTAAATTGTCATATTTCAGCTCTGCAGCTAGCGGCATAAATTGCCAATTAAATTACCAAACACATGGCAAAAAGCAACAACAACAAGAAATAAATATAAATAATACCCAATATATCAACATTGCAGAGGCAAACCGTTATTTAAATATGTTTCAAAAAATATTGTTGAAAACAAAAATTTTAAATTTGCATATTACAATTGTAATTTAAACTTATTTTTCATTGTATTTTATTTCTACATTTTTTTTAAACATATTTAAATATTTTCGAATAGTAAAACAAGTAAGAAAGCTCCAGTCGGGGTGCCCGACTAGGAGATACCCTGATCCCAGTCCTCTGAGTTTTTTTTAAATTTTCCGTAGTTTGTATCGAGTATTCAAAAAAAAAAAGAAAACAAATAAAAATCAACATTGCGAGACCAGGATTCGAACCCGGATTATTTGCGCAGCGTGCACAAACTCTACCAACACCGCCACTTCATAACTAAAAAAAAAAAAAATAAAACAGTAAAAAACATTTCATCTCCTCCGGTCTCGAACCCGGACCAAGCTGCATACCAACGCAGCCACTGTCCTTCTTGCATGGGCTGTTGCAAATTTGAACATAAGTAGCAGCTAATAATTCAGCACAATTCAATCGCAATTTCAATTCTTGGAATAGAAAAGAATACACGCATTTGAATGTATGTGTGCACACGCATAGGAAAAATGCGTGCGCGTGGCGCTGCTGACATGTGCTTTTGGAAATTGGCCAAACGTTTTGTTTAATAACTTCTGTTTTACTTAATGGATTTTAATGAAATTTTCAGCATATGATCTACATATCCTATTGGCTTGGTTGAGATGCAAACGCCTTCACATAAAGGCCCTATTTCCAACTAAACTTAAATTCTAAGAATTTGGGGGAATTTGGAGCCGGTATCCAAAATCCAACAAAAATCAAAATTGCATAAAATATATATAAGACTAAATACAAAATTTGGAGGCTCTAGCTCTTAAGACGTTCGAGATATAATTTATTTACTGCATTTCAATAATGTTTTTATTCGATAACAATTAAATGCGAATAGTTATCGAATATTTGAAACAAACTTGACCTGCGCGTGCTATACACGGACCTACAAAAAAAATTTCAAGTCTCTAGCTCTTATAGATGCTGAGATCCACGCGTTCACACATACGGACAGACGGACAGACAGACAGACGGACAGGGCTCAATCGACTCGGCTTGTCGTCCTGATCAAGAATATATATACTTTATGGGGTCTGCCACGCCTCCTTCTGCCTGTTACATACATTTGCACAAAACCATTATACCCTGATTTCCCATTTTTAATGGGATCAGGGTATAAAAAGTAATTAATTTCTTGAAACCAGAATGAACAAAATTGATGCATTTAAAACTCTTTATGTGTATTTTTCTAGTCACCGTGGAAAATTATTTTTTAGTTGCAGTATGTTGTTTAATAAAACTAATCAATTTTCAATTTGAAAAGTTCGAATGGCATTTAAATTAACTAAACTCTTCATCTTTCCCTCCAAATATTTACCTATCTGTCGCTCTTTCCACCAATACCCAAAACATCACTAACAATTGCCATTCCCTTTACCGCAAATTCAAGTTACTTGTAACAATAAATTTTAGGTTTTTCAATTACCATTTTAGCCCACGTGTTAAAATGAAAAATGAACTTAAGCCACAAGCATCTACAAATGAATTGCATTTATTTCAAATATCGCTTTAGCACGCATTCAATTCTGCAACAATTTTTCACCTGCTGCGAACTTTTAGCCCCTTGGCCAAAAGGCAGCTAATAAACAAACCTTTTAAGTTGGTCTAATGCCAAACACTTTCACTACTTGCCACAGCCCGATCCCCAGCACTCGTCCTACTCTCTAGACTCGCGTCTATCGGGCGCTGCAATCGGCTGGTATTTTTATGCTGATTAGCTACGTTAACAATTTGCAGCACGCGAAACTATTTCAACAATTTCGATGGGGCAAGAACTTGTGGCATAAATCGCCGCAGCGCCAAAAAAACATTTAGTCTCTGGGCCAGTGTTGGCAAACGACGCGAGTCAGTAAAAATTTTAATAAGCCAAGTCCAAAGTCTGTGGAAGTATTCGTAATAGAGGCAAAAGTGCATGCGGCGCACACGCGACTTGGTAATATTAAGAAAATGCCACGCCATTAAAACCACGCACTCACACACACACACACACCACGCTCCACGTACACAGCTTTTATGCAGTGCTTGTTATAATGCAGTCAAGGACATTTAGACGAAAAAGGCAACCAAAAAAAAATGCGAAATGTATGCAAAAAATTTATATATTTTTATATATATGTATAGCATAGCGGAAGTATCACAAAAACGAGGCAAAAAAATAAAAACTGAGAGTAAAAATATAAATGTCAAACGGAAATGACGAGAAAATAGTATGCAATAAAATATGTTTTACTGTAAGCAGAGCGGAGCAGCGCAGACGCCTGTGGTAATGTGGGCGGCAGGAAGTCGTATTCATATGTGGCTTAAATTGAGTTTCATTTTTTGTTAAATTTTTGTTTGTTTTTATCTATGTATCTTTATGCCGTGCATCTGTGTGGGCAAATGTAAAACTTGTGTTTGCTACAAAATAGATTTTATCATAGAGGGAAATGATAAAAATGTGTCTGAAGCATATTTCTTGGCTTTTATTCTTAAACTTTTAGTTGAGCACAATAAATTAATGTTGACTTGTATTTATTTAAATTTGTTCATGAAGTATGTGTTGATATTAAAAAAAAAGAAATTATAAAATATTTTGTAAAATTCCTATCTTTAGGAAGTTCTAACACAGTGACATTTTCAACTATTATTATAATAATTTATATATTTTAATTAATTAAGTAATTAATTGTCCATTTTTTCCCATAAACATAAATATATAGATTATTACATATTCATAAAATAATTTCGGTAAAATAAATATTCACAAGTAAATTTATTCTCAAGTACATTTTTATCTTATATTTGCTAAATTATATTTATATTTTTAGAAAATGTATATTTTCGATGAGAAAATATATTTGTAGTTTCAAATATAATGAAATTAAATTACATCAATTTTTAAGTTATATTTATATATACATTTACTTCAAAAATGTCTCTGCTCTATTGTGAGCACACCACACACGATGTAAGAGAACTAACGGCCAAGAAAAAATAAACTATTCACACGCTTCACTTGGCCACTTTTTGCAAATAATATTTTCCGCTTTTGCCATGCATAAAATCATAATATATCTTTCAACTACAAGTCCTGTGACTGCGAACTGAATCAGCGAGTCAGAGCCAAGGACTCTTGGCACTCAAATGCATAGGGAGACAGGGAGGGAGCGAGGGAGGGAACACATTGGGCCAAAACGATAAGTGACAAACATGTAAGGCAAACAAATGTATATTTTATACTGGAGTGCGGCAGGGCGAAGAATCTCTACACGCCCCCCAATGGCCTGGGAGATGCACATCTGTCAGATAAGTGCGGAGAGCATTTTCTGGCCCGCAGGTGACAAGTTAAACGTCTTGTAAGCATTTGCATTTCAGTATACCAAAATGAAAAACACAAACAGAAAAGTAAAAAAAATACCGAAAAGAAAAATAAAGATAATAAATAAAATGTATAGAGTAGATAAAGCAAGCGCTCTGCTATGATAAAAACAAATTTGCTAAAAATAAATAAATAAATAGCTAAAGCAAAAAAAATAAGAAGAATGAAAGACAACCAGCCATGGCAAAAGGCACATCCTTTATCTGCAGTTCATTTTGAGGACATCAAAAGGGTTTCTCCTGCTGTTGTTGTTGCTGTTGTGGGCGCCATGGCTTAAAGCATATTTGATTATGTCAAGAAATATGCTGAAGGATCTAGACGCCCTGTTTGCCAACCAAAAGATAAATTTAAGAAATATGCAAATATACAAAAAGCCTCATATTACGCTAAGAAAAAGTGTTTGAAGGCGTCTAAAGAGCATTATTGTAATAACGTTTTTAATATGAGCAATTTTAGCTCAGGTCCTGTCTGCCTGTTTAATATCTATGCCATGTGTGCAGACAAAGCCAATTGAAACGCCTCAATATGCTTTACCGATTGCTGAAGTAAATATTTTGCTCATCTATATGCAAATATTTTTCCACATAATTTTAAATTTATTATACAAATTTTTATAGTATCGAAGTTCGATAAGTGAAAAAATATACTAGCCTTTAATAGTAATATTTTTATTTAAAAATTTTTGAATTAATAGCCAGCTATTTTATGTTTCTTTAAAAAGTATATGAAAATTTGTCATATAATAAATTAAAATTTTTGTAATATACTAATTTTGCTAGTTTATTGTATTATTTTTTCTAAAATATCTTATAGATTTCTATAAAATATAAAAGTATATTTATTGACTTTTTCAACTACATAAAATATATTTTTTTAAAAATAAAATGTGATTAGAGCATTAAATATTAGTTTTTCTTATTTTTATTTTTATTTTTTAAATATATATTTAGTTGTTGAGTACAAGAATGTGGCCTTAAACAACATAATAATGTGCCTCAAATTGCTTGATCTTTTAAGTAAGCAATTCAAAAGTATATTTAAATTACTGTAATATTTTTTAGAAAAATTTTAATACTTTTATTTTTTATTTATTCCAATTTGATATTTTTACATTTTTAAATGGTATAATATAAAGAATAAAACGCAATAATGAGAATGAAATCAGCAGATAGATAAATAATTTCGGTGGCAATTTATTAAAAAGAGATTACAAATAAAAAATCAAATTTTAATTTAAATTTAAACTTTATGCTCAAGACTTAAATAGCCCCAATCTTTTAAATCGTTTTTTAATATAAGCTTTTGCTTCGACTCACGTATTAGTCACTTAATATTCCATATTATTCAATGAGTAAATACAATACCACATCAGCACAGCCTTAAAAGCTTAACATTGATTATAATTTCGTAATATTTATGTATATATAAATTCATATATATATATATATATATATATATATATATATATATATATAATAAATATATATATAAATACATAAATATATTCAATATTTCTGTCATAATTAAAGGCACTCGTAATACTTCATTAATCCCGCTCTTATCAGTCCATGCAGGCCCACTGGGTGCCTCGCACTCTGGTCTACCTCAACGTTCAATCAATTAATCATTGGAGAAGCCCATTGAAACAAGCTCATTAAATTATCAAAGTACTTACCCTTTGAAGGTATCTCGGCACGAGTGGGCGTGGCAGTCATCATTAAGAGCACTATGGCCACGATGTTGATAATGTGCAGAGCAATGCCAGCCAAGCGCCCACTGGCAAGGGGGCGTGGCCGTACATGTCGTAGTGCAACGAGTCCAAACATTTTTGCGATAAATTTCTGAAATGGGCAATAGGCGAAATTGTACACGAAAATGCCAAAAAACACTTGATTAAGGGCGGGTTGGGGTGGGGTAGGGTGTAGGTGGGTTGGTCGTATTGAGTAGGGGTATGGGGTGCACGCACACTGCGGCATTAGGTGCGGCTCTAACTGCACTTGGCCCAGCTGCCAGACCAGCAAACCGTTTCACCTTTAATCACTTAAATGGCGCGTAATCATTGGCAACAACAGCAACAGCAACAACAACATTGCAATCAACACCAGTGCCATTGAAATTGAGCGTCATGATGTTGTCGAGGCTGATGACGTGCGGGCTTGCCAGCACTTAACGGTAAGCGTGGAAAGTGTAGGCGTCTTCCATAGAGCCCGCACCGCGCATCGCTCACCCCGCTCTGTCCTCTCTTTCCCACACCATCCGACCGGATCCGGATGCGTAGCGTTTTGCGAGCTAAAGTCAAAATTTTTGCTATGTCCTTGCCCTAGCTTAGGGTGTTCATATTATGTGATTGAGTGTGTAGCACAGCAACTTTTAGGCCATTCAGTGAATGGAAATGTAGTCGATAGTGGCGAAGTAAGGAAGTTTAATTCGAAATATTCAGACTGTTGTAAGCTACTCTTCAAGGTTTTGGCCTTCCTCTTACCCTTTCATTGCTGTTTCCTAATGTTCTTGACAGTGGAACTTCTACTTGGCTAAACATTTTATAAGCTGACCGAAACCTATGCTTGAACGGACATCAATTGTTGTTGAGCTAAAGCCCATATTTGTTAAATTGCCTCGCCTAAGAATCCTTTAAATTTTTCCAAATATCTTATACTAAGTCATGTTGCTTCTCTGTTTCTTATGTGACATAATATAATAAAATCAATTAGTAAACTTAAATTTAGCTTAGAGCCATTTACAAGCTATGAAATTCTTAATTCTTTAGCATAGAATCAAATATAAATAAATCAAGCTATCTATACCTTATGTATTAAGAAATTGTGACTATAGTTTATATTAGATAATGTTATTAAACAATTAAAATTATGATTTGATTATTTCAAAGTATTTTATTTTTTAAGGATATTTAATAATTAGTTTAAATAATTTAATTTCTTTACTTTAGGCTGCATTAATAAAATTGTATAATTAATGTAAACGTTTTTTTATAAATAAACCTTAATTTTGTCATGTTAGCCAAACAAAGCTTTAAAATATTTTCCCACACATGTTTAGCTAAGATTCAATTTATGGACTATATCTAAAATCTAGAAGAGTATTCAAAGTTCGTTTAAAGATTGGTCTGCTCATTCCAGCTTGTTGTTGTTGCCACATAGTTCGGCTATAGCTTTCTGACTTCCCCTACGTTTGTTTTCTGTTTGTTTTTGTGCAGGAAATGGGCTCTGGAGTGGCAATACGGCATGGGGGAGGCGCGGACAGTTAGGCCGCTGTCGTCGTCGAGTTGGCCAAGTAGAATTTGAGGCGTTGTTTTGACGCGTTGCCTGAGCGAGGTTACGTTGTTGTTGCCGTCTAGATTAAGTTGAAACAATTAAATGAAATATGCTTAGACAGCATTTAGACAGTAATTTGATTTTGTGCTTTTCCTTTGATTGTTCAAGGTGGGAGAAGGGCTTCGATTTAAGGTCTTTGAAAAGGTTTGCGGCATTTTAAGAGAATTTATTGAATGTCTTAATTTGAATAATGTTTTCTAGAGCAGTTGCGTGTCCCTTAGAACATTTTACTACGCCTGAAGTACGGTTGAGTCTTACACAACAAATCTGAAGACATAAACTTACAGAAGAAACCTCGACTAAAATTGACTTTTTGCCTAACTTTTTAAGAAAAAATTTAATGAGTATTAATTAGAATACATTAACTAATATTAATATAATATAAAATATTAATATAATATAAAATATTTAATATAATACATAATAATATTTTTGGAATTGAAATTGAGAATTAATTAATATAAAGTTAACTTAATTTAATATTTAAATTATTTTTCTTTTTAAGTATAGAGATTTTTTATTTATTTTTCAATATAAACTCTTTTAAAAATATAGCTTTAAATACACTATTTCAATGCTGAAAGTTTTTGTATATTTTTTTTTGGCCATAAATATAGAACAATATAAAAGCCTGAAAGAAAAACTATAAAACAAAAGAAAGAAGCAAAAAGCAAAAAAACGGCCTGCAGATGAATTTCAGTTGTCTTCAATTTGCGATGTCAAACTGTCGACGAATGTTTTGTGTGCTTGTTTGCGGAGCTCGAATCAAGTTTGACAAATGAAATGATTACACAAAGTAAACACAAAACACGTTGAACAAACCACCTGTCAGACAGCTGGCAGCACAAGAGAAGCAAAAGCGAAAACACTGGCCAAAACTCAAAACGAAAACTTGTTGAGAGTGGGGGACAGAGCCAACGGGCAGCAAAAGCGACAGCTGCAAACATGGCAACATTTTACAAGCGGAAAGCCAAAGGAATATTATAAGCAACAACAACAGTAGCAAGAGGGATAAACGACAGCCGGCAGCCAAAATGCCAAAACCGAAGCGAACCGCACCGCATCGCATCGCACTGCAGCGCGCCCGAATGCCAACAAAATGGCAATGGTAACACTTCCGCTTCCGGCGCTGCGGGCGTTGTCGACGTCGTTGTTGCACAGTTGGCAAAACGTTGCACGTTGAGCAAACTGTAGTCAAAGGCGATGCGCCCACAGGCAACAGCAACAGCACGAGGCACGAAGGACGGACAGACGACTGACGACGGAACACAACAAAGCTTGTTAGTGCGGCTCCCCGTAGCGTTGACAAAAAACAAAAACAACAAATGCAACAATAACACATTTTCGGCAACCTAATGGCCTTTATTGATGGACTAAGGCATACCCTATATTTTATAATAAAGAAATTATCTTTTCTTTATAATTTTTGCTATTGAGTTAGCTAGAATTATTTCTGCCAAGGCCAATATATAGATATATGTCAGATTTGGACATTTAATTAGATTTAACATGTTTTTGAATCGTCTAATGTGGAATAAAAAAAGGTAAACATCCCAAAGGATTACAGTTATATATCTTTATTTAAGAAAAGATGCTACATGTTTATACTTGACATACAAAATATGAAGAGAGAGAGAAAGAGAACCCAAAAAAATTATGTTTTTTAGTAGACAACAGCAGTCCTACACACCACTTAGTATGACGTCCACAAATTTAAAAAATATATATAAAAAAATATTTAAAAATATATTTAAAAAATTGAAAATAAAAAAAATTTAAATATTTTTTGAGTAAAATTTATACTACAAATTAAAAAATATAATAAATGGCTTAATTCAAATAGTATGAAAACTAGAATTGTAACTTAAAATATTTTCAAAAAATTTAACACTATTATCATTTATCATTTTATAATATTGCATATTGAAATTGCAATATGCAATATTATAAAATGGTAAAAAAAAACAATTTGGGTTTTTTAACACTGAAATTTAGTAAGGAATATAATTATATCTTAAACGCACAGAAACAACATTTGCTCAAGACCTAAAAAGCTCTGCAGATTCATCTTTCCCTATGTTTATATTTGAATGTTAATAATAAGAATTTGACTTAAAGCATTCTTAATTTCTTGAATTTCTGCTTCAGCGAACAGATTTTAGAAGAAATAAATTTATTTTTGGTAAATGACATAATAATATTGCCAGACTAAAAGTAAGCCCCGTCAGCCATACATTTTATATGCAGGGTATATAAACAAAAGACCCTTGGGCTTGACGTAGGTAAAACGGGACTCAGACATAAACAATGGCGACGAAACGAACAAAAAATTTTAAACGCTTTTAATATTAAAGCGTTGGGATAGAGACACAAAAGCGGCTGAGGCGTAAGAGCTCAGCACCGCAGGTGAAACAGCCAACAAAATGCAACACGGCAACAGCAGCAACAACGACGACATCGTAAAAATAGCAACAATCTGCGGTGCTGTGCAAAAAGCCGCGACTGCATAAAAAATACCTGGAAAAATATTAACAAGCGGAATGAAAATTTAAAAAATATTAAGACGAAAATTTAATACTCTTGTAAAGTGAAGATCGACAATTCACTGATATATAGAAGATGTTTACTAACTGTTGCTATTGAAAATGTATATAGCAAACATTTCACAAGTTTGATTTTAAAAAACGTGGCGGGAAACTCTTAGAATGAATCGACAAGTTTTCCTCGAAAGCTAAAAGCTCTTATATAATTTATAGCTATTTATATTATATAGTATATATACATATATAGTTGAAAGAACCTATTGAAATATTTTTAATTTTAACAAGTTATAAAGTATTAAGAAATTTTTAGACAATGCAGAACTTGAACACTTCATTTTAAATAGATATTACAAGTTAGTTCTCTGAACCCAAACATTTCATAAAAAATTAAATATATTATGTTAATGAAAATATAAAAATCAAGTTTGCTTAAGATATCTAAATAATATTTAAAAAAATGAAATGTAATGATTATAGTAATAGAAAAATATGCTTCAGAATCTAGATTTAAATATTATAAATATTTAACTTATTCATTTATTTATTTAAAACAAGATTTGAAGAAATCTAGATAAATCGCTCTATAGTCTTCTCAATAGATACTTATCAAGCACAAATATTTTGAGCTCCTGCACCTTTTCTACTTCACACATTTTGTGGCTAGCTTTACGAGCTCCTTTTTTCATAGAGTATATCACAATAAAACAATAGCAAAATCCTCGACTAAAGCCAGTGCTTGGAGTGCGCTGCAAAATTCCTCAAAACAAGGAGCTGCTGCGACTCTCAAGTTCCTGTTGGCCAGTCGCCCGTTGTTGTTGGCTCTTCGTGACGAAAATGTTTCGCTTAACTGGATTTTCAAATATTTATTGCAACAAATTATTTGGTTGGTTACAACTCTTCCTGGCTGGCTCTAACCGACTCCCACTAACCCCTAACGCCCGAGACTGGTTTTTATGGCCATTTGGCTTATTTCGTTGCATTGCCTGGATTTGCAGTTTAGTTGTTTTCTCCCTTATTTTTACCATTGCGGCTTTTTGGACAATTGCCAACAAATTAGGGTTTCACAAAACACACATAAATATTTCGTGCAAAAAATAAAATATATAATTACGAAATGTGAAATAACCATTTTGGCATTGGCATTTATAATAATTTGTGTCTAATATTTAAAGACTTAATAAATATGTGTGAAAAGCTGTAATGCTTATGGAAAAATTTAATATAAAAAACAAAACAAAATCATATATAAAAATTTTCGATTCACAAGAGCTTGTTATATAAAATATTTATATTGATATTATATTACTTTAAGAAAAATAATTAGACTTGTTTAACTTTTTTTTGTCTTAAAATACTTTAACTTTATTATGTCTTAAAAATATTAATTCGAAATACTAAATAGGAACAGAACTTATTCGAATTTTGTTATAATCTCTACAAATATAATAAAAATGATTTACCTAATAAATACAACAATAAGTTCTATACTAATATGATCTTTAAAATTATATGCCGATCTTTAGTCTTAAAGAATTGTAGCTATAGAAACTTTACAAGTTTTGTTACCAAATAAATAATACAATAAATATTTTAGATCGCTTAAGAACGCGTGCCCAGAAAGACTTTACTGACTCCCTTTACTAAAAATAATTATATATATATATTACTATAACATTTTCCAATCTGTCTAATGTAATCTACGCTTTCGCATATGCCAAGTTATTTAATTAAAACATTGTTTTAATCAATAAGAATTAAATCTGACTTGTATAGCTATGAGTTCCTCTAATTTGAAGCTACCTATGCCTTTTAAATCTTCTTTTAAATCAGCTTTCCAACGAAAGTTACACAAACAAAAACAAAGAAAAATAAGCAAACGCCAGTTTTTTAGCCTTGACAGATCAACTGAGACAGAGACGGAGACGAAAAAAATACATTCTAATTACATAAAATTAAGGACACAAACAAACACATACACGCTGTTGGTGAAGTTGATTAACGGTATCTCCGCTAGGACGCGTCCGTTGCAATTGCTATGCGAGTGGGGGAAATAACGGTGGGTAAAACTTTCACTTGATGCGTTCAGAACTTTTGTGAAGAGCGCTGCCAGTAGCTGGCAATTGACAACGACAACACTGACGACAACGACAACGAAAAGGACAACGACGCTGGCGATAACAGTAAGAACAACGTGACGAACAACATTTCGTGTCAAATCGTTTGCTAGCGGTAAATGGTAAGCACATAAAAAGACGTCAACAACTCGCGATAATGTCGAAACGCGCGCGCTCACACAGTTAGTCAGTTGTATTTTTGGTTAAACGGCGCGTAGTCTGAACGCCGAACCATCCGCACAGAAGGACAACCGATGTACGACTAAATGCCAATGGCGTTGACTCGATTGGTGGAACGGCTGTGCCGAGCTCGACGCTTCACTCCAATTCGTTCGCTGCTCGGCTCACATTCGGCTTTTCGAACTTCGAAACGGCTTGAGCAAGAGCACGAAACGAAGAGCGCCACTGGAAGCGTTCATTTCGCCCCAAAATGAATCCCTAAGCGAGTGTATGTGTGCGTGTGCGTGCGTGTGTGAATAGTGGGTGAACGGCTCGAGGCGAGTGTCCGTGAGGCCGTCAAGTGTTTGGTTTAGTTGCTTAGTGCGTTGATAGGCGCGCTGGGCGCTAAGCACGCGTCGCCGACAAAGTTGATTGGTTGCCTCTTGGCTTCTGCTCCCAGCGCCAGAAGGCTTCACGTTTCCGTTATGAAAAGCGAAGAGTAATTAAGAGCTACATGGAAAATCGAACAGTAATGTTAATGTTGAATGAGGCAATAAAAAGCAGCAGCAACAAATCACATAAATTGTTTACTGTAAATAAAGCTTGTACATTTTCTAGCAATTTTAAATAAAAATGTATTAAAAATAAATATACAAAATTAGAAAATTCTAATTCGAATTAATGTATTTTCTGTTTTTTTAGAGATTTGTATCTATCTATTTATCTATCCCTCTATTCATATATACATATCCATAAATCAATGTATTCATATATCCATATATCAATATATCGATATATCCATATATCGATATATCCATATATCGATATATCCATATATCAATATATCCATATGTCCCTATATCCATATATCCACATATTCATTTATCCTTCTATCCATCTATCGACCAATACAATTATCCAACTATCCATATTTCTATTTGTTACTCGCAGAGTCCTTTGAAATCCTTTTTTCACTGAACAAAATTTCCTTCCTTGACGACATTTGCACCTACATTCAACTAGTTCGACTCAACTACCTGAACCCCTAGTCAAATATATGCTCTCCAGCTTCGCTATTAACAACGTCAACCTTCAACAGCTAAGCCACTCTTCTCGTAGTCAAATTAACACGCAGACTCTAAAAAAAGGCAACAAAAATGGCTGCATAAATTGGCTTATCTGCAAAAGCACACAAAACTTGTTGTTGTTGTTGCTGTTATTGTCTCGCTCTTTGTGCTAAGTAAATGTCAAAACCAGCAACCAACAAGAGCAACAACAAGAATAGCAGCAAGCAGCAGCAGCAAGTGGCGAACGGTCAACCACAATAAAATTATTCCACATACGCAACGTTGGCTCCTGGCATCATTTAGATAAACACAGCTGCAATGAAAAAACTTAAAGCCAAAGGCTACAAAACTGACCAAAGCTAAGCTGGGAACTATAACTATATATGTATATATATATAAATATATATATATATATATGTCTATATGTATGTATACTTATTTATTTAGTAGAGCTTATTAACCAGCTTTGTCTATGCCAAAATCTTAAATTTCTGTTCCAGCTTAAATTGCTTACAATATAGAAATGTATATATTTGTATAGAGCATTGTTATATACTTTCTTATATATATATATATTTATAAATCGCATATCATATTTATCATAAATGTGTCCAAATCTTTAAGGGAACTTATGTCTGCTGGGCCGAAATTTCGCTGCGGCATGCGGCAACAGTTTAAGCCTCGTTCCTTTGGTCATCATTTTTCACCAGCAACAACGGAAAATGGTTTCGTGTTGATGACGACGATGATGATGGCAACCGAAAACGTTGACAAACGTCACAGCTTGAGGATTAAGAGGCGGGAGCGGCGCTTGCAAAAGGTCAAACTGGGCGCAACTGACCTCCGTTGATAAAAATTTAAGACTTCTGTGGGTCTATCTGTGTGGGTGTGTGTGTGCGCATGTGTGTGTGTCTTTGGGTGTATATTTCATATCTATTTCAATGCGTATTAACAAGGGATATTAAAGTTTAGCACAAAAAAATATGTAGAAAACTTAAAATGTATGTGGGTAAAAATTATAAAAAAAAAAACTGAATTAATAAACTCTAAATATTTAAAAAATAATAGTGGGTAAAAGTTACATTTATATATTTTAAAATATTATGAAAAAATAATTGAAATTATAAGAAATCTAAATGATAAAAGAGAGAAATATACTTATAAAATATATAATAATAAATAATAATAAAATAATAATAAATACTTATAAAATATATAATGTACTTCTGTTTTAAGTGTTAAGTGTTTAATTTATAGTAAAATTGAACATTTATAATAAAGTTCTGATTTCGATTTAAAATTTAAAATTTATTTTGTTTTAATTTTTAGCTTCATAAGAAAGGAATAGGAAAGCAAAGACTGAGTTCTGCAGGAGAATAACGTAAATAATTTATAAATAAAAATTTTAATTTAGTAACTTACTAGATTTAATAACAAATACTAAATAATAAAAGTTCTTAAATGGAAGTTTTGGAAGAGATGCAAAATCTTAATTTTTTTAGAGTTCCGTTAACTGAATTATTAATTTAGATGTTTACCTAGCATGAACACTACATGACTGTAAGAAACTGGAGTTCAATAATTGGATAAACAAGTGTCTGTTTCTGTCTCAATTTAAGTCGCAATGCAAAGGCAAACGCCTGGTGCTGTCAATCGTGTTATTTGTGTGAGCCAATTCTCTAAATCGAAACGAAATGCAGCAAAGTATTCGCTAACAAATCCTCTTTGGCTGCAAAGCTGTGTAACCTGCTTCGCCCCTCCCGGGCCACCTCCTTCGTCTTCTTCTTGATGTCTTAAGAGCTCGCTGTGGATTGTCATTTAGCTGTAAGAAACGACACCCACAAGTGCGGGCATTAAATGAAAGTTGCGCTCTGTTTCTTCTTCTTGTTCGTCTGCTTTTGGCCTTATTTTCGTAGCCAATTCTGTGCTTGCATCTGCTTCGTCTTCTTCTGCTTCTTTTTTTTGTTATCCACAATTGGCGTAAATTGCAAGCGCATAAAAAGTGTTAAGTAGACGGAATGGGAAATTGAGGGTTGCTGCTGCTGCTGCATAATAGCGCCCAAGTGCCAAGTGTCAATTGATTTCTGGGCATGTGGGCGTGGCACTGTGTGTCTTTTGCTGAAAGCGCATTAGCAACGACACACACATTCAGAAAAACAAAGCTGATTGCATTAAAAGCGCAAATTGCTGCCAAAATTCAAGAGCTCAGCAAATACAAAAAAAAAAAAAATTTAAAAAAAAAATAAAGTTTAAGCCAAGCTGCTTAGCAAAAACAAACAAAAAGTGAGACAACAATATAACTGAACTCATTTATATGGCCCAAACATCTACCAAAAGCTGGCCATGTACTTAGCACAGCTGCAACACACGCAGACATTTTCTCTCTTCCTCACTCCCTCTGTAGCCTGGCTAACAGCACTGTGGACTCTTTGGGCCAGACTTTTGTTACATTTGCCTTACTGCCTGTTTATGCAAAGCTTTGCTGCTCTTAACTTGTTTTTTACCTTAACACAAATTGATTTTAGCCTGAATGCAGTTAAAGCACGGGCATTAGCAAATGGTTGGCCAAATGACAAATTAATGCGACTATTATTAAGGATTTGTTGCTTGATAGGCAATAAATTGAATTTAAATATATACATACATATATATATAAATACTTAAAATTGTAATAAATAAAAAAAATAAAACAATTAATATAAAAATAAATTAGCTAATTAAATACTTAAAATAACACGATATAAATAAACATTTAAAATTAAAATAATTAAGTTAATTAAATACTTAAAATAAAAAAAGTTTTATTAATATTTTACGTTTGTCTAAAAACTTAAAGAAATATTGTAAACATAAAACTTTCAAAAATTCAAATGAACCAAATATTTTTTTGAAAAAGAAAAATTAAATTTACAAAATATTTTTAACTTATCGAATTTAAAATTATACAGATTTATATAAATTTTTGTTGTTATAATAAAAAATAAATTTAAATTATTTAAACAGAAATATTAATAATTTAACAGATCATTATATATATTTTTTATTCAAGAAAATTTTACTAATCCAAAATTTGCTCCTGCTGTCAAAATGTTTTCCTTAAGTTCTATCAAAACAGTTACAAAACCTAAATCATTTCATTTGGCCTTTACTACAAATCTTCCACACCCATCTCTGTCCCACTCTATCTCTCTGCCCCTCTCTTCTTTACACATATCGCATCCATATATGGGAAAAGAACTCTCTTCAAAGTCGTATAAAAATAAATCTGTGCAACGTTCTGTGCGGACATAACCCACACTCGAATAAATCAGTTTAATGTGTACTTAATATTTGCCATTAAGTTTTTATTACTTTTCTGTGCTGGGCCGAAGCGTAGCTACGAGCAGCTGAACAGGTACATAAATCGGGTTAAAAACACCGTTAAACCAATTTAGGCCACACACCCTCCCACACACACACGCACAATAAAATATGTCAATTGGTTTGGCATTGCAAACGATTTTCGTTTAATTTGTGACTGTGCCAAGAAGAGTTTTCTTTTCCCTTGATTTTCTTTTTTGGGTACAGAAAGTTTCCTCAAAATGAAAATAGAAAAAAGAAATATGTTTCATATATATGTATGTGTATATGTATGATATCAATATATATGTATAATTGTGCATTGTCTAGGCGAGCTTGACTGATTGGAAGATTTCTTAAGATAAGTTTACATCAAAGTTTCTACCATCTTTTTGTTGATTTCTGTTGAATTTTTGTATTGTATTTCTTGAATCATTATTTGAAACTTTTCCTGAAACTGGAAATTTAATTTTTAAGGCATAAAATTTTATTGGTCAAATTATAAAAATGAAATATTCAATAATTTCGATAAGCTTTGAAAATCTAAAAAATTATAATAGTAAAGTTTAAAAACTAGTTTGAGTATTAATCTATTAGTCTTAACAACGTTTTTGTCATAAATATTTTTTTTTTTGATTATTTGTGTTTATCTTTTTGTTTATTTTGATTATTCATTATATTTTTTATTTATATTTATATTATTATTTATTATATTAATATTTTTTTGTTTATATATATTGTATCATATTATATTATATTATATTTTGTATTTTATTTTATATTATATTATATTTTTTCCGATTCATTTTTATTTTCAGCTCGAGCTAAAAAATCTCTTTTTCAAAATTAAACGTGTTGAAATATAATTAATTGCCCGATTCTGAGTGTCGATATGTCTGAGGCAAAATTAATAAAATAGATGTGGTCTAGTTTAACAAGTCAAAAGATGTGCAAGAAAAGTTAAATACATAAACTTCTGCAGTCGGAGGCATGTTTTGTCATGAGTTTCTCCAGCGTCTTTAAAAGTCAAGCTACTTAAATTGGTAAATGCCATTGTCTGACATTCACAGGGCTCTTGGCAGCTATGTCTGATGTTTGCCGAGCAGCTACGTGATTTATGCAACGGTGATTAGTGGCACAAATCAATGAAGGCAGCCAT